TTTATTTATTTTGAATTTCAGGAGCTTGGGCCAGTCTTTCTCCAATCTTGGAGCTTTCAGCAAAGGAAAAGCTGCTGGATACAAATTGATGGAAATAATCAAGCAAAAACCGACTATCGTTCAAGACGAAAAGGAAACGAAGTGCTTGTCGAACGTCAATGGGAACATTGAGTTCAAAAACGTAACTTTTAGCTACCCTTCAAGACCCGACGTCATAATCTTCCGAGACTTTTCCATTTTCTTCCCGGCAGGCAAAACGGTAGCTGTCGTCGGCGGTAGTGGCTCGGGAAAAAGTACCGTTGTCTCATTAATAGAAAGATTTTACGATCCTAATCAAGGTAACTTCATTTAAAAGCTTTCCTTATAAAGTAAAAAAAAAATATATATATATCATGCCACTTCAAATTTTTGTCCTGAAAATATGATCCAACTTGAAATGTGCAGGGGAAATTTTGCTCGATGATGTTGATATAAAAACCCTTCAGCTGAGATGGTTGAGGAATCAAATCGGTCTTGTGAATCAAGAACCCGCGCTCTTTGCCACCACAATACTCGAGAACATTCTATACGGGAAGCCCGATGCTACTATGGCCGAAGTGGAAGCTTCTGCATCGGCTGCTAATGCTCATAGCTTCATCACCTTGCTTCCAAATGGATACAACACTCAGGTAAAACTATCAGAACGTTTTACCAGACATAGTCATAAGCTCAAAAATCACTTATAAGTTATAAGATATCTTATGAACTTAATGGTTTTACCAAACATAACCTTATTAAATACTGGCAATTCAAATTTCTTTAATTCTTTTGGCAAAATCCAGGTGGGAGAACGTGGGGTCCAGCTGTCGGGTGGGCAGAAGCAGAGGATTGCAATTGCACGGGCCATGCTCAAGGACCCGAAAATCCTACTCCTCGACGAGGCCACGAGCGCTCTCGATGCTGGCTCCGAGAGCATTGTTCAAGAAGCCCTTGACCGACTCATGGTGGGCCGGACCTCAATCGTCGTGGCCCACCGACTATCCACGATCCGTAATGTTGACTCCATAGCCGTCATCCAACAAGGCCAGGTCATCGAAACCGGGACCCACGAGGAGCTCATATCCAAAGCTGGCGCCTATGCTTCTCTCATCCGATTTCAAGAAATGGTCGGTAACCGGGAGTTCTCGACGAACCCCTCGACTCGACGAGCAAGATCCTCGAGATTAAGCCACTCGCTCTCGACGAAATCCCTCAGCCTTCGTTCGGGGAGTTTAAGGAACCTGAGCTATTCTTACAGCACAGGAGCAGACGGGCGGATAGAGATGGTCTCGAATGCAGAGACCGAACGGAAAAAAAACCCGGCTCCGGCCGGTTATTTCTGCCGTTTGCTGAAAATGAATGCTCCCGAGTGGCCATACTCGATTATGGGGGCTGTGGGGTCAATTCTTTCGGGCTTCATAGGGCCCACTTTCGCGATCGTGATGAGTAACATGATCGAGGTGTTCTATTATAGGAACCCGGCTGCTATGGAGAGGAAAACGAAGGAGTACGTTTTTATCTATATTGGAGCGGGACTTTACGCGGTGGTCGCATATCTCATTCAGCACTACTTCTTTAGCATCATGGGCGAAAATCTCACTACCCGAGTTCGGAGGATGATGCTAGCAGGTAGTAAACGTGGGAATGAAATATCGTAAAGATGTAATTTTTATTGATTAATATCGTAAAAGAGTAATTTTTTTGTGTTTTTTTTTCTTTCTTTCTTTTTTTTTTTTCGTTCGTCCGATTTTTTCAGCAATTCTGAGGAATGAAGTTGGGTGGTTTGATGAAGAGGAGAATAACTCGAGCCTGCTCGCGGCTCGTCTGGCTACCGATGCTGCAGACGTGAAATCGGCTATAGCAGAGAGGATATCTGTGATACTGCAGAACATGACTTCTCTTCTCACTTCATTCATAGTGGCCTTCATTGTTGAGTGGAGGGTTTCATTGCTCATACTTGGCACATTTCCTCTCCTTGTCTTAGCAAACTTTGCACAGGTAAGTAAAAAGATACAATGTTTTCAGAAAATGCCAATAGTTATTTATAATAATTATGGCAAAGATGGGTTCTTGAAATTATTTTGCAATTTTGCACCCTATAGCAATGAAATTTGGGTAATTTCTCTTAAGAGTTGGGTCTTATTAAATTAATTAACATGTAGTGCAGAGGTGAACAATTTTTGAATCTTGGAATAAAATTACACAGCTTTTTTGGCACTAGAAGACAATAGTGTACATACATATAGCATAGTGTGCTCACCATGTGATTTCCCCCTTTAAATTTGCTGCATGACTTCTTGAAACTCACACAGTTGAACTAAATATAAAAAAATAAAAAATAAAAAAAAATAAGCATGTATATAAATTATATATATGTTACCTAAACCTTATAAAATAGTACTATAAAAGATTCTATTATTGATCACCAACATCAAGACACTGAGAAATGTGCAGGTTTCTCACTTGGGTTATATATATGATATTTTTATTATTATTATTTTTTTTTATTATTTTCTATCACTGCCAATTATCAGTGGTTCAGTGCCCATCTTGTTACTATTACCACCTCAACTGTACTGCTTTTCACCTTGCCCCAGACTCTGGTTAGCTGTGAAGTGTCAGTTGTGACCCCAAATTTAATGCAGGGTTTGAATATTGGTGTCCCTTTGAGCTTTTGAGTTGATTTTGAATTGTTATTTTTACTGATAATTTTCTTGCCAGTGGTGTGCCAGAGATTCCTCATCCTGTCACCATTTTCCATATCATAAATTCATAATTTCAATAATCAACCCAAAACATTTTAAGTTTAACTACAATAATTTCCTCTTTAATCACCTAACTAAACCTTAATTAAAAAAAATTGCAATGTAAATTCTTTTTTTTTTTTTTTTGCACAGCAACTATCACTCAAAGGTTTCGCCGGCGACACAGCGAAAGCGCACGCTAAAACGAGCATGATCGCCGGTGAGGCCGTGAGCAACATCCGAACAGTCGCCGCCTTCAACGCCCAACCGAAACTCCTCTTCCTCTTCTCCCACGAGCTCCGCCTCCCCCAACGCCGCTCTCTTAAACGAGCCCTCTCCTCGGGCCTCCTCTTTGGGCTTTCCCAGCTGGCCCTCTACGCCTCGGAGGCCCTAATCCTCTGGTACGGCTCCCGCCTAGTCCTCCACGGTCTCTCCACCTTCTCCCGAGTCATCAAAGTCTTCGTTGTCCTCGTCATCACCGCAAACTCCGTAGCTGAGACCGTCAGCCTTGCTCCCGAGATCGTCCGAGGCGGCGAGGCCGTCGGGTCCGTTTTTTCCATCCTCGACCGGCCCACAAAAATCGACCCAGACGACCCAGAAGCCGAGCCCGTTTCATCAATCCGCGGTGAAATCGAGCTGCGACACGTGGACTTCGCGTACCCATCCCGGCCCGATGTCATGGTTTTCAAAGACTTCAGCTTGCGGATCCGGGCGGGCCAGAGCCAAGCCCTAGTGGGCCCAAGCGGGTCCGGGAAGAGCACGGTGATATCGCTGATCGAGAGATTCTATGACCCGGTTGGCGGGAAGGTGATGATCGACGGGAAGGATATAAAACGGGTCAATTTAAAATCTTTGAGGATGAGAATCGGGCTTGTCCAGCAAGAGCCTGTTTTGTTCTCGGGCAGCATTTTCGAAAACATCGCGTACGGGAAAGAAGGGGGGGCGACCGAGGGGGAAGTGGTGGAGGCGGCTCGGGCGGCGAACGCGCACGTTTTTGTGAGCGGGCTGCCCGGAGGGTACGGGACGCAAGTGGGGGAGAAGGGAGTGCAGCTGTCGGGCGGGCAGAGGCAGAGGATAGCGATTGCTCGGGCAGTGCTGAAAAACCCGGCGATCTTGCTGTTAGACGAGGCGACGAGCGCTCTGGATGCCGAATCAGAGCTCGTTTTGCAGGAAGCGCTCGAGAGGGTGATGAGGGGGAGGACGACGGTTATAGTGGCGCACAGGCTGTCGACAGTGAGGGGGGTGGATAGTATAGGGGTGGTGCAGGATGGTCGGATTGTCGAGCACGGGACGCATGGGGAGCTAGTCGGGAGGGCCGAAGGGGTTTACTCGAGGCTTTTGAAGTTGCAACAGCATCGGATATGAATCAGGGCTCGGGTGATTCGTGGATTGTTTGTTTTGTTCGGTTTTTTTTTTTTTTT